GTTTTCCTTATATTGAGATGCAATCCATACTGCAGAGTGTATTCTTCAACCTTCATCAGTAAGTACTTCAAGTCATCCTCACTTTCAGCGAGCAAAGTTGTGTCATCAGCGTATCACAGGTTGTTAATGATTCTCCTCCAATCCTGATGGCACGTTCTTCTTCATATAGTCCAGCTTCAAGTATAGTAAAAGGATACAACCCTGATGCACTCCCTTCTTGATTTTAAACCATGCAGTGTTCTCTTTTTCTGTTTGAACGACAGCCTCCTGGTCTATGTATAGGTTCCTCATGAGTACAATTAAGTGTTCTGGAATTCCCATTCTTCTCAAAGTTATCCACAATTTGTTATGATCCACACAATCAAATGCTCTTGCATAGTCAATAAAACACAAGTAAACATCTTTCTTGTTTTCTTTACTTTGATCCAAGATCCATCCAGCATCAGCAATGATATACCTCATTCCATGACATCTTCTGAATCCAGCCTGCATCTCTGGAAGTTCTGTCAATATACTGCTGCAACTGTTTTTGAATTATCTTCATTGTTAAATTAAATTGAATTGAATATTATTAAATTGAATATCCCCAAACTGTAAGATTGATTACCCTAATGTGGTTTTCTGTGTGTGCAGTCATGATATAGAAAAGCGGAGTCAGAACAGTGTTATCATCACTTACTTGTATCACTAAACTTCTCTTGGTTCTCTGATATGAAATAAAGGGTTTCTTTTTTAACCACCTTTCTCTCCTCAGCCTTCTATTTTTAGGTGGGTATTAATACACAAATAATTATTAATAAGTGTATTACATTTACATTGTGTGTTGACAGTGTTTATATACAATATCTTGTTGAATAGTCACAATGACCCTATAAGATAAGTACTATTATGATTTTCATTTCATAGATAAGGAGACTGAAGTTAAGAGATGTTAAATAATTAGGATCTTAGAGCTAGTAACTGACCCCAGCTCACTATTCCAACCACAATGCTGCACTTCCACCATAAAAATAATCATATTGAGTAGCTTGAGGAAATGTTTACAAAGAGGGGGGGAAAAACAGCTTTATAATGTAGCATCATAAAGTCTTCTTCAAATTTGAACACACACACACACACACACACACATATATATATATATATGATTTTTTACCCATGTATCTGAGGAACTGTATTGTTGTTGTTAGGTTCTGTTGAGTTGATTCCAACTAATGGCATCTCTATGTACAACAGAATGAAACACTGCCCTTTCCTGTGCCATCCTCACAATCGTTGCTGTACTTGAGCCCCTTGTTGCAGCCACTGGGTCAATCCGTCCTGTTGAGGGTCTTCCCTTTTTCATTGACCCTCCATTTCACCAACCATTTCACCAACCATGATATCCTTCTCCAGAGACTGGTCCCTTCTGTCCATGTGACCAAAGTAGGTGAGATGAAGTCTGGCCATTCTCGCTTCTAAGGAGCCTTCCTGCTGCACTTCTTCCAGGACAGATTTGTTTGTTCTTCTGGCAGCCCATGGTACTCTTAGTATTCTTCTCCAACATAACAATTCAAAGTTATCAATTCTTCTTCACCTTCCTTATTCATTGTCCAGCTTTCACATGCATGTGAGGTGAATGAAAATACAGTGGCTTGGGTTAGTTGAACTTCAGTCTTCAAAGTTACATCTTTGCTCTTTCAGCACTTTAAAGAGGCCTCTGGCAACAGATTTGCCTAGTGCAGTATGACATCTGATTTCTCAACTGCTGCTTTTATGAGTGCTGACTGTGGATCCAAGTAAAATGAAATCTTTGACAACTTCAATCTTTTCTCCATTTATCCTGGTGTTGTTTACTGGTCCAGTTCTGAGGAATTTTGTTTTCTTTATGTTGAAGTGCAATCCATGCAGATTTATTGATATTCATCAATAAGTGCTTTCACTTTCAGGAAGCAAGGTTGTGTTAGCTGCATATCACAGGTTGTTAATGAGTCTTTCTCCAATCCTGATGTGATATTCTTCTTCATATAGTCCAGCTTCTCAGATTATTTGCTCAGCATACATATTGAATAAGTATGATGAAAGGATACAACCCTGACACAAGCCCTTCCTGATTTTAAACCATTCACTATTCACTTGTTCTCTTCGAATGACAGCCTCTTGGTCTACGTACAGGTTCCTCATGAGCACAATTAAATGTTCTGATATTCCCATTCTTCTTGGTGTTATCCATAATTTGTTATGATCCACACAAATGCCTTTGCATAGTCAATAAAACAGAAGTAAACATCTTTCTGGTATTCTTTGCTTTCAGCTAAGATTCATCTGACATCAGCAATGATATCCCTCATTCTGTAGCAGGGACTGAGGAACTGTAATGTGGTGGAGATTTGGACTTTGGACTTCGAGATTTAAACCAGAGTTCAAATCATAATTCTTCAGCTTTCTAAATAAGTGTTGCTGGCAAAGATGCTTAATTAATCCAGCAAACATTTTTTGAACACTAATGTGTCAAGCACTGTTCAAGATGCTGGAGTTATGAGTGTTTATAACAGTGAACAAAGCCAAGCCCCTGAGGTCATGGAACATACCTTCCAGTGAAAAATGAGAATCAACTAAAAAATAAGTAAATATTAATTGTTCACTTATGATGAGGGCACCTGAGAAATATACAAAGTATGAGGAATAGGGACACTGAGGGTATTTTATTTTATAGGATAATTAAGGAAGACATCACTGATAAAATGATGCTGGTGCAGAGTCCTGAAGGAAGACAGAGAAAGATCTATGCAGATATCTGGGGCAGGGGTGTTGCAACAAGAGGGACTCACAGGTGCAAAACACCTGACACCAGAGTGGGCTTGGCATGTTCAAGGACTAGAAATAATCCCAGTGTGGCTACTGGGAGTTAGCTGAGGGAATGGCTGGAAATAGGGTCAGAAAGGTAGGTGGACAGGAATGGAGGATGGATTATATAGATCTTGTAGACCACTGAAAGGCCTTGGCTCTTACTTTGGGTGAGATAGTGAGACATAGGAGGTCTTCAAGCACTGTCAAGCTGCTCTGTTGCAAGCTAACTGAGGAGCAAGGGTGGAAGAATAAATCCAGGTAAAAGATGATGATGGGTTGGATTAGAGAGATGATGTGCAAATAGAGAAGTGGCCAGATTGTGTTTGAAGGTAGAAGCAATAGGATTTGCTGATGGATGAAATGTAGGGAATTAAGCAAGGAATTAAGATTCTTTCTGAGTTTTTTTTTTTCCTCTTAAGTATATATATATATGTGTGTGTGTATATATATATATATATATATATATATATAATATATGTAAATATCCAGGATGACCTATGGACAGAAATGAAGAAATTATATATAATATATGTATACACACACACACATATATTTACATACTTTTATTATAGTGAAAACATATACACCAAGACATTCACCAACATAACAACTTCCACATTAAAACTCAGGGACACTGATGACATTTTCAAGTTGTATCACCATTATTGTTTCTGAGGTTTTTGTCCTGAGCAACTGAAAGGTGGTAAAAGGTATATTAGAGTAGTTGGTTTGCCTAGTGGAGGTAAAGGCAATTGGCAACAGGACTTTGTAATTAAAGGGAGAAACTGGATGGAAATAGCATTTTGGGGTTATCAGAATATAGATTCTATTTAAACTAGTATAAGATCAGCAATGAAATGAGTACCAATAGAAAAAATAAGGAAGCCTGGACTGCACCTTAATGAGCTCTGGTGGCACAGTACTTAAGCCATTCGGCTGCCAACCAGAATGTCAGCAGTTTGAATCCACCAGCTACTCTGCAGCAGAAAGATGAGATGATCTGCTTCTGTAAAGATTTACAGCCTTGAAACCCATAGGGCAGTGCCACTCCGCCCTATAGGATCACTATGTTGGAATCGACTCCGTGGCACTGGATTTGGTTTTTCGGTTGGACTGCATTCTTTGGCAATCCAAAGTTTATAAGCCTAAAAGATGAATTAGAAATAGATTGATAAGAAGCAACAGTGAGGTAAGAAGACAATTGACAGAGAACAGTGTCCCAGAAGTCAAGTTGACATTTTGAAGCCAAATTAGAGCAACATGAGGATTATTGGCAATCTTGTGAGGAGAAAATTTAGTTGAGTGGGTGGAAGAAAGCCTGAATGGAGTGGTTTCAATTGGAATATGAGAAGAGAAATTAGATATTGAAAAATTTTAGATGCTCTTGCTGAGGAGGTGTAGAGAAATGGAACAGTAGCTATAGGGAACTAGGGTTAACCAGGTTTTTGTTGTTTTTCTTTTGTTGTTGTTTTTAAGGTGCACATATGGCGATCCATATGGAAGGGAAAAGGGATGATGCATAAGAGAGGGACAATCGATCTCTTGAGCATCATCTTACTTTATAAAACACCTAACAATATCCACCTCACTAGTGCAGCTGAACCATGAAGGGAGATAATGACCTGGTCTTGGCACCTGGTGTGAACTCAGTCAATGGTAACTCTCACTGTATCCCTGGCAAAGAGTGATGTAAATTAGACTGGCACCTGTGTGGGATTCATGACACCTGTGACAGGCATCTGCATAGCAGAAGTCTGCATACTTGGTTCTGTCTTCTAAGTTCTTCATAGGGCTACAGAAGAGGTGTTCTCCACTTTGGTGAGGATGGATCCTTCACTATCTGCTTTCACTTAAGACTGGAGGATGTTTTCTCATAGTAAGAAAGAGTAGGAAGGGAGAAGTTGGATCTTGGGGAAGAGAGAAATGCCCAAAGCTTAAAAGGTATATTTCTTTGGCACTTCATCCATGGCCCCACACCTGACATAGGTTGAAGCTGCAGTGACATTCCACATCATGTTCATTCCATAAATCAATTCCTCCTCATTGATAGGGAGTGGTTGGCAGAACAAAGAATGTGTTGCATGTTGAGGCCAGAGGTGGGTGGGTACCTATCATAACGCGAAAGGGAGAATGAGTGTGAATAAGAAATGTGTGTATAGTATGAATGGAAACAGCTAAGAGTGAATGAGTGTGGAGATGAGCAGGGAATAGCTGGTCGTGCCCCAGCGGCCTGGGGCCTCCCCAGGGAACGTCTGCCTGTGATGCGGGAGCGCCTGCCGGAGCCTCCTTATCCCCACCCACCTCTCTAACTCCAGCAGCCAGTGGTGCATATAGACATATTTCTGGGAGCTGTCCATGAGCTCATCGCTCTCCTGGCGATCTTGGCAGCAGGGAGGGAAGCAGCCTCCTTTCTCCCAGTGCCGCTAGAATAAGCCCGGCGGCTCGCACATTCAGACACGCGCGGAGCGCGGCGCTGGGAAGGGGCAGCCAAGTGCGGCCGCCGCCCCTATCGCCGCCAGCCCAGCCCCAAGGCCAAGGTCGCGCCCCACTCCGGCTCGCCATGGCTTTGAGTCTCCCAGTCGGGAGGTAGGTGGACGCGAGAAGGGGCGAGGGGTCCGGCCAGAACTCCAGGCGGGCGAGCCAAGGGGGACAGCCGCCCCTCGCACTCTGCGGCGGACGAGCCCGGGCGGGTCTCTGCGGGGCGCGGCGGCTGCGGATTCTCCTGGCTCATCTAGGACGCGGGCCGCAGGCCGGGCACTGCAGAGACGCAGAAGACGCGGGAGACCCGGGCGTGACAGGAGGAAGAAACCCGGAGCAGCAGAAAGATGGCTTCTCCCACCTCCCCGGCCCCGGAAGGCGGGGCCTCCACCCCGCCGAACCCGCCGCGTATTCGTCAGGTGGGTGCACACAGTGCGGGGAGGGGCGCCGGCACCCCATTGTCCTCGCCTACCCCAAGGACGGGGACCGCGCCCCCAATGCAGAGGCTCACCAAGGAATGGGACTGACACAGGCACATTTGGTCGCATCGTCTTGCCCAAGACCGTTCCCTTATTCTCTTTTTCTTAGTCTCACTCACTTCACAGTCAGGATCACAGACACACACACACACACACACAGCCCTAGAAAAACAAGAATCTTTAAAAACTAGACATGTAACTTATGCACACATACACACTACATACACACTCACACACACACATACCCGCAAACTCATCCCCCCACCGCGCACAGAGGCACACACCCAGCAGTCACATGACCCACTGCAGAGCTGTACCGTTGGAAGAAACCCTTGGTGCCCTCAGCAGGGAAAATACACCCTAGACCCAAATTGCCTCAGGAACTTGAGAGGAATTACTGGACGCATTCCCTTCCCTAGGAGAGAAGAGACCTTGTCTAGAGGTTATTTAGCGCTTCTCAACTTTCAAGCAGAGCTATACCCAATAATTGCAGCCCTATATAAAGCATGGAGTACTAGAAAACATGTGTTTCTGCTCTCCCGGAGGTCTACAGAGCCGCAGTCTCCCTGAACACTGCCAGAGAGGGAGGGGGGCAGGGAGGCAGAGATGCACATTTCTTTGGCTCTTTGAACAAGCACTGTTTTCTGTTTTGTATGGTAATAGTAAAACAAGAGAGTATTCCATCTGGTTGTGATCTGTGATCTAGAAGGGTTTTTTTCTCTACCACTGCCAGAAACTACAGCATTAGCACCTTCCGTTATTGGAAGAGTAACACAAGTTCAGTTTGCCCTTTTTCAGGCTAGGGTATGAAGTGTGAGAATATACGATGCAGTGACTACAACTAGAGAACTTCTTTACCAAAAAGAATTGGATTCCTGTTTAGAAATAGGGTGAAATTGATTGATGGAGACTATCTGGGCAGGAAGATAATGCCCAACAGAATGGTCTTTCTCCAGGAGAGTGTGGAAATTGTGAGAACACCAAGGGCTCTAGAATGTTAAGAAAACATGACAGTAAAATTTGATGACAGTAAAATTTGCTTGATACTTAGGAAGGATTTTGCCACTTTAAGTATGTGTAGGTAGTGTTCTTTAGGGACAACCTTTGTTTATGTGCATTATTTTTATGCAATGAGTAAAAATTGATATGTACATGTTTTTATGGCAATCTGCATCCCAAATAAATAGTTGTTGTTGTTATGTGCCGTCAAGTCAGCCCTGACTCATAGGGACCCCTCCTTGGGTTTCCAAGGCAGTATCACTACGGAAGTAGGATTGCCCAACCTTCCTTCCGAGGAGTGGCTGGTGGGTTTGAACCGCCAGCCTTCTGGTTAGCAGTCAAGTGCCTTAGCCACTATGCTACCAGAGCTAAATAAATAGTTAGGATTTCTAAATCAAAATCTGTACAAGATCCAGGACTCTACTTTTATAACAATGCACTTGAAACTATTTTTTTTTCTTAAAGAATTGTGGTGCTATGTATCAAATCTGTGTTTGTAATATTTATCTATGCATCTAAGAATGAAGGTGAAATTATTGCTATTTGCTATATAAGTGAAATCACATCCTATAAAAATATTTTTTATCTATTTGGCTAAATATTTATGTGTATGTGTACATGAGCATTGAAGAAATAAAATTTTAATTGAAATAGAATATATGCATTCAAAAAAATCTCTCTGAAATCTCATTCTGCAGTATTTCCACAGACCTAAAACTATTTTGTATGAAAATAGTTACTAGAAAATAATTTGCATGAAAGGTTATTGTTATTTTGCAGACTGGACACTTTACTTAGTGGACCTCATAATCAAAAGCCGTAAATGACATAATGCTGCAACATTCAAGTTATTGACCTGTGTCCTGTATTCAGGCTTTCATTTACATGACCTTACAAAAGCACTCTTTTAGTGATTGGTGCATTAATTTGCATAGAATGTAGAAATACTTTGTTAGAATTATGGGTCATTCCAATTTACCTGATTTATCCAGTCAAATGGAAGAGAAGTACTGAGAACTCTGGCTTCAGAATCACCATTTGCCTTGGAGTGATTTTAAGTAAATTAGAAATAAAAAATAGAATGGATAACAGCGTTGACCTGCTAAGTGATGAAATATTTTAGGCCTCAGTCACATTGCATTTTAACTGTGTCACTGTTTCCTGGACATGTTTCTTCTTCTTCTTAAATAATTCTTCAAATCAATTCTGGATTTGGTCAAAATTGAATTAGAACCTTGTTTTTCTCTTTCTGAATCATGGTTAGGAGAAAAAGCATAATTGAGTAGAGGAACAGTCCAAAGTAGTCAAAGATTTTAATGAAAAACATTGCATGGATTTTGGCAATGGATTAATTAATTGGTCATTATTTTAATTGCATAATGGACATTTTGAAGTATAAATATTTTAGAAAGTTTTTTTTGTGAATATAAATATAACTGGTAAATTAGTATATTTAATTTCATTGAACATATGCTATATGAAGAATATATGCTATACGGAAAAATACATCATTTGAAATTTGAAGTCTTTATAGAGTTCTTACTACATTATTTAGACAAAATACTAATTCTTTGCCTTTTATTTAGATTATTTTCTAATAATGAGCCTAAATAATACCTAAGTTTGCATATATTTAAAAAGTCACTATATGATGGACTTCATGTTTCCATCTATTTGAAGCATTTCTATTTCCTTTTAGTTATTTAATACATTACTAGAAGAACATGTCAGAAGCTATATGTAGTATTTTTATAACTTGATTTTTTGGACAAAGATTCATTTTTTAAGTTTTTGAAAAATGATGATATAGCACAAAATATCTAAAGTAGTTTAGTCCATTCACATAGTGTATTTAAAATCTAGGTTTCCAAAACTGAGAAGGTCAAGAATTAAATGACCTTCAGTTTCATTCGGTCCTGTAAGGAAAGGAGAGAAAAATGTATCAACACACTCTGCCTTCTAAGGCTCCTGAGATACTAGGTGTCTCATTTTTTCTCTTTCATTCTATAAAAAACGGGGTAGCTCTTCTTTATATTATATATAGGATAAGTAAGGCACAAAAATTTTACTTACAATTCTAAACAAGTAAGTCAAATTTTACTCCTATAATCATTTTCTAATTTTGTTAAAAGAAAAGAGTAAGAATTGTCGATTTTGTGACTTACTATACATTAAGAGATCCATCTGATTTCTGTGGCCATTGCTATAGAATTTAAATCCATTCACTAAAGGAATATTGATAGCTTGATGTACAATATACTTTGCTAGCATCTTTCTGGGCCTTACCAACTCTCTGATGATTTGTGATGGGAACTTCCCTGGCAACAATTGCTGTAAGAGGAGCTGTAAGATATCCTCTATCATTGATGCCAGTAAAATTTATTGTCATTCTCTCATTTCATAATCAATCCTTTCCCAAGATCTCTAGATATTGGTGTCATTTCATTTATGGTAGCAAAGCAGTGTTCCTTCTTGGTTTGCAACAGAAACTTAGGAACTTCTCATATGATTGTTGTTGTTGTTGTTATGTGCCATCAAGTCAAACCTGATTCATAGCAACCCCTCCTTGGGTTTCTAAGGCAGTATCACGACGGAAGTAGATGGCCCAACCTTCCTTCCAAGGAGTGGCTGGTGGGTTTGAACCACCAGCCTTCTGGTTAGCAGTCAAGTGCCTTAGGCACTATGCTACCAGAGCTCCTCTCATATGATTATAATGAGATATTTACAATAAGCCAGGAATAGTGCTGCACTAGGCACAGTTGTCAAAACAGTCCTATGATGGAGTTGTAGTTATTCCCATTTTCCAGATGAGACAATGTGGATTTAGAGAAGTTAAGTGACATAATCAAGGTTATAGCTCTAGTAATTAGCAACTAAAGGATTTAAAAGTTGGTCTTAATGGAACAGAATTGAGAACACAGAAGTAAATCCATCTATCTCTGGGCAGCTAATTTTGGACAAATGGTCAAAGTCTGTTCGATGGGGAAGACACAGTTTCTTTAACAAATGATGCTGGCAAAACTAGTTATCCATTTGCATAAAAATCCATAACTCACAGCATGCACAAAAACTAACTCAAAATGGATCAAAGACCTAAATGTTAAAGCTAAAAGTATAAAGTTCTTGGAAGATAATAAATGAACAACACTAGGGTACCTAATTTTCAGCATAAATAGTCTATTAAGCACAACTAATGTTGCTCAATCAACAAAAGATAATTTAGATAACTGAGACTTCCTAAAAATTAAATACTTACTCTCATTAAAGACTTAAGCAAAAAAGTAAAAAGAGAACCTACAGACTGGGAAAAAACATTTTTGCAATGACCTTCCTGACAAGGGTCTAATCTCTAA